ATCCCAGTTGTTAGTATTGTCTATACCATAGGCTTACATCATTGTCTTAAGGGTTTGATGGAATTTCTCTATTTCCCCTTGAGATGGAGAGTGATAGGTAGTTGAAAAGTTAGGCTCTACTTTTAATCCCTTTAAAACATTTCTAAATAACTTTGAGGTAAAGTTAGGCCCTTGGTCTGTTTGCACCTCTTCAGGAAAACCAACATGAAAAAAAGAACTTCATCAAAGCTGCTATATTATGTAGAGACACTGCTTCCAGGTACCTGGTAGTGGAGCAAAGAATTGTGAGTAAATAATCATTTCCCATTTTGGTCTTTGGGATTGGACCAACTACATCTACTACCATCTTGCTAAAGGGTTCACCTGGTGCTGAAATAGACTCAAGGGGAACAGGTTTAATACTTTGGCTAGGTTTCCCTATAAATTGACAGACATGATAGGCGTTAACATACTCTCTGACAGTCTCCCACAGCTGAGACCAGAAGAAATGCCTGGAAACCTTGGACATCACCATCTGGTGACAAAACCCTTGTTCTCCTTCCATTGGTACTGCAAATTGAGGCGACTTATTTGTAAGAATTTCCTCCCTGATATAGAAACATTTAATTGTAAAATCTCTTCCTCAGACACAGTTGAGGCTCTGATCAGCTTAATTGCACCCTAGTAGGTGCAGCCTCTCACACTACTTAACTGATCCATGTTCCAATTATGCTCAGCTCTTGCTGGAACATCTTTTTCTTCAGTTGACTGCAGTTCAACATCAGAAAACAGTTTCTAGACTATGCCCTTACCTTCCTCATGAGAAATATTATGAAGGCTATTAGTAGCATGATCATGAGTCATACTTCTCATGGTGGAACCAGCAGGGAAAAGGTCTGGCAGGGTTTCCCTAGCCTTCTCCTCCCAAACTTTGGAACTTGGTTCCCTCCAAACTAGTTATTCCTCACTGTCTAACAGGCCCATTACATTATTCCCTAATAAAAGGTTGACTCCTCCGAAGGGAATTTCATCTGAAATACCTACAGGGAGATGGCCAACTTGGTATGCAGATTCTACCCATAATTTGTGTACTGGTGTTCTTATGGTTGAACCCGTAATACCTTTCAATAATATATCTACCCCAGTATAGGTATCCTTAGACATTGACAGCACTCCAGCATGTAGCAAGGAGTAGGTGCTACATCCATCTCTCAAGGACAGTATGTTCTCAACCCTGCCCACATTCTTACGCAAGGCAACTGTGGACCTACTAGAAAATGCATGCATCCTGGGGTCTAGATCCAAAGGTTCCTCCTTACCTTGCTTTGAAGACCTAATGCAAACAACTGGATGTGTGTCTGCAGTTAGGGTCCCCTGGGATGGTTCCTCTCTTTCCTGATCGTGCCGTCTAGACCAGCGAAACTTTTGTATGTGTCCAGTTTTGTTACAGTAGTAACAGATATAATTCTTAATTACCATTTGGTGTAGGACTGATGCTGTTTACTCGAGGAACTGAAACATTGTCTGATGGCCTAGGTAAACTTTGAGCTCCAGCTGACTTGCCTTTTCCTTCAATTTGAGAGGGCACCTCAAACTTCATTTATCCCTGAAAATTCTTGTCCCACTTACCTTTATGGCCATAGGATTTGGAATAAGGCTTAGAATGAGTGCGGGAAATTTCAGAAGGAGCATGGCTGCTTTTACTTACCAGCTTCCTGTGAATTAAGAATCTGTCGCCCAGATCCAGCGCTGCTGAAAAATTTTCCGGGTTTCTTGTCCTCCAAATATTCTCTGAGGTCAACAGGGATTGCATTGTACAGTTCTTCATGAGCAGTTAGATCTACTAATTTGTCAAAGTCTGTTCACTCCTTTGGAACAAAACCAATTCTTTAAAAGAAACAATTTCTCATTCCTACACTCTGTTAAGGTCTGCCCATCCCAAAACTTTTGACTTCTGAATTTTTGCCTCTATTTCTCAGGTATCATTTGGTATGCAAGCAATACTTCCTCCTTAATTTTATCATGGAAAAACCTTTCCCCTCCAGAGTCTCTACTCTTTGGGATCCTTTACCTACAAGCTGCATGCAAACTAGGGTAGCCCACTCAATTTTGGGCCATCCTTGCGCTGAAGCAGTCTTCTCAAAATATGAAAAGTATCTGTCTGGGTCACTTTGTAAACTTGGGGACAAAATTTGCAGCTTTACTTATGTTAAAGTACTGCTCTTGTTCTGAACCGCCTAACCTTTGACATTCTCTCTCCTTAGCTTCTATTAATTTTGTTTCAGCCTGTATCACAGCTAGCCTAAGTCTCATCCTCTCCATTTCCTTATCACCAGGAGTAGGTGATCCCTCATAGTCACTGTTACCAGGCATATTTACTGATGAATTATCCTCCTCAGTGAAGCCTGTAAAGTTTAAAGACTTCACTTCTGACGTAGCATTTATCCTAAAACACTTGCTTCCCTCTTACAGTATTAGTGGACAGAGTTTTCCCACAGGCAAATAAAATAACACAAGTTGGATGTAAAATATGCACATAGCACTAACCATAACCACAAACAAAAATGTGTTACTCAACCTTTCTCCCACCTTAGGAGGAAAACAACCTGTAAACATATGAAAACAACACTTCCACTGACACCACCTTGATGAATCTTCTCCTACCAGAACCGTGCAACTGTTGGTACCCTATACCAGTACATACAGTTCAAAGAATGTTTTGAGTTATTTTCGCAGTAAAATAACTCTCCTGGTCAAGCTCCCATGTTATGTTGTTGTCCCCTTTTAACTTTGTTATTATGGTTCTTACTACATATTCTAGTGTGTGGGTAACTTACTTAAAAGCCTTATAAAGTCTAGGGTAATAGTGGTACCTCAGGATACGAATTTATTTCATTCGAGAAGGCTGCTCGAGTGCTGATACCGAATAAATTTGTTCTCATGAGGAATAATGTAAATTAGATAAATCCGTTTCAGACCCCAAAAATACACTTACAAAAGCACTTGCATAAATACACTTACATAATTGTTCGAGTTTTGAGCTGTTCGTATCCCGAGGTTACCACTGTACAGTGGACCCCCAGTTCGCAAAGCCATCGGTATCCGATAAATCCGGTATCCGAAGCATTATATCGCAAAAAATTTGCCTCGGTTCCCGTTACAAAACCCGGTATGTGATACGATTCGTACGAGACGTGTCCAGTGTTTACAAGCCAGCCAGCGTTTCTCGCATCTAAGGATACATTCGGTACATTCTATATTATCCATATTATCACTGTTTTTGGTGCTTGTTTCTGCAAAATAAGTCACCATGGGCCCCAAGAAAGCTTCTAGTGCCAACCCATCGAGACCAAGGGTGCTAATGACTATTGAAATTAAGGAAATATGTGCAAAGTGGCTTGAAGTGCAAACCTTTTTTGATGAAAATCACCCTGACACAGCTACTGCAAGCCGTGTTGGCAACCTGTACACTGACATTGTTGTGAACCACTTTAGGAAAGTCATAAAGGAATGAGAGGTACAGGCCTCTATGGACAGATATGTTGTGCAACAGAAGTCCAGTGGCTCTCAAGCTGGTCCTAGTGGCATTAAAAGAAGAAGGGAAGTAACCCCGGAAAAGGACTTGCTACCTCAAGTCCTAATGGAGGAGGATTCCCCTTCTAAACATTAAAAATTTCGACTCTCCCCTCCTCCCATCCCATCAATCATCACCAGATCTTCATTAAAGGTAAGTGTCAATTATTCTATTGTGATTATTCTATTGTTATTATTGTTGTTGTAATTATTATATTGCATTAAACTTAATATTTCATGTGGTAAAACTTTTTTTTTTTCATACTTTTGGGTGTCTTGCACGGATTAATTTGATTTCCATTATTTCTTATGGGGAAAATTTATTCGCTTTCCGATAATTTTGGTTTACGATGAGCTCTCAGGAACGGATTAACATCGTGAACCGGGGGTCCACTGTACTTACATTCATGATTGGTCATCCTCAGTTAGTAAAATCTTTTCACCAGCCCTTTCAACAGGTTATTTAAACCACCATTACAAAAATAGGGATATATTCTAGACAGATATATACAGAATATACAGGTTTCGCATCTTCCTATTCACAACAAGCATACCCCCTTGCTGCTCCAGCAATCACATGGTCCACCTGCCACAATTAGTACTCCTTTCCTCTTGATGACCTTAACCCAGTGTTTTGACACACTGTAGGCACCCTGGGTATAATGGTTACATCCCTTTAAAGTATAAATCTTACCTCTGGGGCACTCACATCCTGCCCAGAAATAGAAGGACATGTAGATCCTACCAGCTTGATGCCACAAGAAGCAGTGAGGAAGAGAGAGAAGCTCAGCTAGGTGCCACCCTTTCACCCACCAAAACAAACAAAAAAAACTGTTGCCATGCACAATTCTTTAGCTACCACAATAATTGTTTTTCCCATTACCACACCTTATTTTACTTTTACAAAAAGAAATACAATTTTATAAACTACTTGTTTTAATTATGTGTGTGTCTATAGTACAACCTATTATATTGAAAAAACAAGGCTTGACTCAACTAACTCTCAGTCTTAAGAGTGATCTGCCCTTATGACAATTAAAACAGTTGTGCCTTCCATCAATTCAATATACGTAATTAGGTATCCCAGAGTAACTGTTACAGATACATAAATACATGTTGGGTCCTATAGCCCCATAATAGGTATTTAACAAATAATTTTTAGGCAGTATCCTTAATAAAGTCAAAGTATTGATTTGACAGGTGTTGTCACCAGATGTGATTGATTGATTTTGGGCAGATTTTTAGTGGATCACACTTCAGTCAAATTTATTATCCGAAGGGTGATTCATATCAGTATAATAAGTTTTATATATAAAATTTATTATCTCTGGCCTTTTGTGCTCTTCATTTTGCATCATATTAACTATAAAAAATCTGTGAGGATCATAAGTTATATAGACTATAATCTAAAGAATATTAAAATTCCCTTACAAAAATATAAATGAGTAATGTGGCAGATGTTGCAGATGTATGAAATAGATGATAGTGTTTTAAAAGCTGTAAAGATTTGTCATGAGAAAAGTGAGATTGCATTCCTGAAAGTTGCTCGTAAGTCAATTACTCAGAACTCGAAGTTATTTTCCCATTGGCACATGTTATAAATAGAGATGTGTTCCTCAGCTATAGTTTTTCATATATACTTTAATTTTATTTATTTTTTGTAACTAAGAATATTTACCCAATATTGTATTTACATTCAGTATTGCTCCATGTCACTTAAGAGTACAGTAGTATTAAAGATGGTTTCATTAACATATCAATGTTAATCAGAATAGAGCTACAATATAGTATACACTACAGAGGAGGTGTAAGGGCAAGCAGCAGATGGACTGCCTCAGAGAGGGAGAGAAAAGAGGAGAAGGAAACTGAAAGGGAAGGTGGCAGTAAACTCCTGCGGTCTTGCTTCTCTCACACTGGCACATCCAGCATGCAGGGATTGGAAGAGTGAGAGAGAGAGAGTGGAGGAGATGCTGCCTCATCCACAGATCACTACAAATCAATGGTGCCCCAAAAGCCAGTGTATTTATTTCTAAATTTTTTGACCAATCTTAACATTCTCATTCCATCGCAGTGTACACTGATGGTTCGAGGTCTTCTGATGGCATCGGATTTGCAGCAGTGTTTCTGGACAGCATCATGCGAGAGCATGTATTATCCTCAGCTAGCATTTTTACTGCTGCATTGTATGCCATTCTCGTAGCACTTATCCATATTGCATCTATGCCTGTGACACCATTTGTGGTAGTTTCAGACTCCCTTAGTGCTTTACAGGCTGTAAGAAAATTTGACACACCTCATCCCCTGGCTCTTCATAGCCAACTTTGGTTACGCCATATCTCTAGCAAGCCCAAAGATGTTTTTTGTTGGGTCTGCTGTCATGTTGACATACAGGGCAATGAACAGGCAGACACTGCTGTGCAATCAGCAGTATATGACCTCCCAGTTTCATATAGAGGTGTTTCATTCACAGACTATTTTGCTGTAATTGTTACCCACCTTCGTACCCATTGACAACAACATTGATTTGATCTGCTGCGTAACAAATTACATTCTAATTAGCCAAGTACATGTAAGTTTCTTGCCGTCTTCTTGTCATCAGTGTCGAGGTTGGGAGAATACTCTCCCGTCTTCGCATCGGCCACACTCATCTTACTCATGGGTATCTCATGGAGAGGCGCCCTGTTCCACTCTGTGAGAATTGTCAGGTTCGTTTGTTAGCTATATTCTGCTGGACTGCCCCCACTATCAACGAGCACACAGACTTCACCTCCAACATCATTGCCGTTTTACTGCCCTTACTGTACCTTCCCTTCTTGCTGATGGACCCTCCTTTAACTCAGACTCTCTCATTGACTTTTTGACAGCAATTGATTTACTGCACAAACTCTGATGATGATGCCTCTAGTACTCCTCACAGCCCTTTCTACCTCAATCTGTTGTTACCCTCTACCCCTGCACTTTCCACTGCCCTGCTGCACTCAATGATGTAATAATAATCCCTCTCCCTCTTGGTACCCAATACTCCTGCACCCTTTCTTGCCCTGCTGTTCTGTATGACCTTTGTAGGTTTAGTGCTTCTTTTTTTATTATAATAATGGAGCGAAACAGAGTGACTTCAAGAGTGTATCAGTCTGTAGTGGAAGGAAGGCGGGGTAGGGGTCGGCCTAGGAAAGGTTGGAGGGAGGGGGTAAAGGAGGTTTTGTGTGCGAGGGGCTTGGACTTCCAGCAGGCATGCGTGAGCATGTTTGATAGGAGTGAATGGAGACAAATGGTTTTTAATACTTGACGTGCTGTTGGAGTGTGAGCAAAGTAACATTTATGAAGGGTTCAGGGAAACCGGCAGGCCGGACTTGAGTCCTGGAGATGGGAAGTACAGTGCCTGCACTCTGAAGGAGGGGTGTTAATGTTGCAGTTTAAAAACTGTAGTGTAAAGCACCCTTCTGGCAAGACAGTGATGGAGTGAATGATGGTGAAAGTTTTTCTTTTTCGGGCCACCCTGCCTTGGTGGGAATAGGCCAGTGTGATAATAAAATAATAAATAAAAATAATGACCAATCTTTACCAAACAAACATAACTCCAACAAATATGAATGACATACACATGCACCAAATATCACTGCATGTGGTGAAAAATAACAGGAAAAAATTAAAAATATAATTTAGCATCAACAAAATTTTAATTATTAAAATCTACAGTTCTTACCATTACTCTGTTTACCAAACAAATATAAATTCTCCACATATACACAAAGTGAACATTTGCAAAATATGAATTTTCTACAATGAAAAAATAGCTGTGGGAAACTAGTGAAAATAATTTGTGTTAAATTTTTACAATTATTTCTAACGAGCTGTTGGAGTGTGAGCAGGGTAATATTTAGTGAAGGGATTCAGGGAAACTGGTTATTTTTATCTAGCCGGACTTGAGTCCTGGAAATGGGAAGTACAATGCCTGCACTTGGAAGGAGAGGTTTGGGATATTGGCAGTTTGGAGGGATATGTTATACGTATACCATATATGCTGCTAAACTGTTGTATCTGAGTGCCTCTGCAAAAACAGTGATTATGTATGAGTGAGGTGAAAGTGTTGAATGATGATGAAAGTATTCTTTTAGGGGATTTTTTTTTTTTGGGGTCACCCTGCGTCGGTGGGAGACGGCCAACTTGTTTAGAAAAAAAAAAATTACAATTATTGTAACTAGGATCAGCTTTCATGAGTCATTAGTTGGATCCAAGGTGTAATTGTTGTACAGAACATTGTACACTGAAACATTGCAAGGTAATGATGTTCCACTGTAGCATATTGAGTAAAAATATTTATATGCCTATGCATAATGGAGCATATTGTATCACAGTTCTGTAGTTTGAAATTTAGAAATTTGTTTCAGGCCATATGAAAGTTGTGACTTTAACTTGCCTCTTTTTTCCAGGGCAGCATTGCATATGCCAAATCACTTCAGAAGGCTAACCTGTTAACTGATGAGGAGAGTCAAAAAATTACTGATGGTCTAGAAGTTGTGAAAAGTGAATGGGCCAGCCAAAGCTTTGTGATTCAACCAGGTGATGAAGACATTCACACAGCCAATGAACGGAGACTCAAGGTATTCAACGTTCTCCGTAATACAGAAGGTCCTCTTCTAACTAACAAGTTGTGCTCCAGTTTTTGAACTTGTAAAATGTTTCATAAAACAATAGTATAAAGAATTGTCATGTGTCAGATCTACAAAACCTCATGTTTATAAAATTTTAAATAGTATCCAAGTGTTTTGTTTGTAAGTGCAGATGTTATTAATTTGAGAAGTTTGTAGGTTGAGGACCTCCATTATCATCTATACTGTATCACCAACTTCTTCAAATATAGAGAAGCATGTATAAGGTCCTGGATGTGAGAAAGCTGGCAGGGCAGTGCAGAAACTTGTATGCAAGCATAAGAAATAAAATATACAGTTGCATTTCTTTAAAAGGAAGTTTAAAGCAAGGTCGTTAATAAATTTATATCATAGGACAGTGAAGAATAATTATACAAGTCTTTGCTTTCCTTTAGCCTCATAGTTTCATAATGGCAAGGTTTGTGGAAGATGTAAGATATTTGTGAAGGTAGACAACATTTTGAGTGTCACGTTTATGGCTAATAAATAAGGAAGATATTGGCAGTTTGGAGGGATATGTTGTGTATCTTTATATGTGTATGCTTCTAAACTGTTGTATTCTGAGCATCTCTGCAAAAGCAGTGATAATATGCGAGTGTGGTGAAAGTATTGAATGATGATGAAAGTATTTTCTTTTTGGGGATTTTCTTTCTTTTTTGGGTCACCCTGCCTCGGTGGGAGACGGCCGACTTGTTGAAAAAAAAAAATAAAAAATAAGGAAGACTGGAGACTGTTTAGAAGGTATTTGATTCATGTAAACTTAATAAATGTACAAGTTTTAGCAGGTGCTTTCGCTCCAAAATTGAGAACAGTTATGATATTACATACTAGTAGAGGTTGTAAAACAATAGAGTAATCAGGACATTTGCACTGTTTAATTGTTAGTGCAAGGTGGCAAGATGGACAACTCTTTCTGTCAGACATTATTAAATGGCCTGCTTGCTTTCTTCAGATGTTTTCACACTTTACAGTTTTATTGGAGTATGTATCATGTACAAGATCAGAAAGTTTCTTCAGAAATAAACAGTAACAAAAAATACAACTCTTAATCCTAGTTAAGTGATTTATTATTTCTTTAAATAAAGATATAAAATGTGGGACTTGATTCCCTATTGATCTCTTGTGAGTTTCAGAAAATCTTCTTAAAGCACCATATGAAAGATTAGATAAAGTACAATAGGTGAATTATTGTCAAAACGTTTTGCTGCCTCTACATGCTTCTTAAGTCTTAAACAGAGATAACTAAATATTGGGAGACAGCAGAAGCAATAGAGAGATACATACGAGGGGATCAGTCACTCAGCCTTGAAGTAGTAGTTTTGAGGTGGTCAGTCCCTCAGCTGTGAGAAATGTTCAGCTCCATAGACTTGATCAGTGTTAATATGATGCATGGGAATTGGGCCTTTTACACTGTAGCCAGATGTGAGGTGCTGAATTTGGAGATGGCATCACAGGAGGTGGGACACATTCCATGAACCTGTGTTCCACTATTATAAAAAACTAGTTTTTCAGTATTACTGAAAAGTGGGGTAATCTTTTGTCTACCACTCACAAGATTACAGAGGTACATGATGAGTCCAGGGACTGGGCCGCAAAGTTTTGATAGCTGAAGAAGTTAGTGGTAATGAACTGTTTACATGTTTATATCTGGTCAAACTCGTAATGAGTTGTTTATGCAGACATGAATTAGGTCACACACACTCAATACATTATTTACAGTGGGCAAAGTCAGGGCATTTTTCCAGAATGGTTTGTAATATACCACTGTGGATAAAATCGACATTTCTTGAAAAATTCTGAGTGAATTGTCTCTGAATTCGTTAACTTTATCACATTCAAGTACATAATGATGCAAGGTGTGACAGTTGTCCATCTGGCAAAGTTTACATCTTGTTTGGTGTACATCTGGCAGTGGTGATTTAGCCTCCCAAAGATACTGGTCACCCAGCCAGAGCCAGGTGGTAGTGTATGCTTTTCTCAGTACAGTATCTGGTTTGTGAATAAAGCCCATGTTTATGGTATCTGCATTTTAAGTGAAGCTTGCTGACAGGTTGTAGTCAAAAAGTTATTTACATTTAGTTTAGCTGTTTCAGTGATTTGGATGACAGGTTCATTTAGTTTAGTTCTAAGTAGAATTTACTTGGTCTTAGTGGATTTACTTGAGCCCAGTATTTGAGAGTTGCCCATGTCTTATTTTTACATCTTTTTCAATAAAGCTATTAGTATGGCATCATATAATTGTTTGGATTTCTTTCTTAGTTTGGTGATCATTGATGTAATATGTATCATTTCACTAGTTCTTTGGATATTAAGCCCACCATATTTTTTAATAGTTGTGGTTTTGTCATTGGATATGAGGATGCTCTTGATTAACCATAGGCTATTTAGTCTCTTTGTTGTGACCTTTTTTGTTTTTGAACAGACATTATTTATTGTAGAGGCTATTGGTGTCTTGTAAGAATGCACGAACACATGAATTAGTCTTGATCATTGTTAAATTCTCTTTGCCAGTTCATACAACTGATTGGTATGGTAAAATTATTCACTGATGCTTCATTAAGCCTGAATCACATTAGTTGCAAGTTGTAATTTTGTTAGTGACCAGGAAGGTGGGGTAACAGGCAGTTACATGGTCAGTGATGATGCCTGCATTTAGAGGAGCAATTACAGTATATACATACCTACATCCTCCATGGGGAAGTGGAACAGAATTCTTCCTCCGTAAGTCATGCTTGTTGTAAGAGGCAACTAAAATGCTGGGAGCAAGAGGCTAGTAGCCCCTTCTGTATAAATTACTAAATTTAAAAAGAGAAACTTTTGTCTTTCTTTTTGGGCCTCCCTGCCTCAGTGGGATACGGCCGGTTTGTTGAAAAAAAAGAAAAAAGTATATGCTATTAAGCTGCTGTTTTTCCCTAGGAAATTGTTGGAGATGTTGGTGGCAAGGTTCACACTGGAAGAAGTCGTAATGACCAGGTGGCTGTGGACATGAAGTTATGGCTTCTTGAACACATAGTACAGCTTGCCCCTCATGTTACTAAACTTCTTGAGGTAAGCAACATTGATTTGAGTCAGGATTTTTTTTTTCTGGAATGTATGATGTACAGTATCACACAATGTACAATGCTGTCTAAAATGAATTTACATAATGTATGAGTAGTAGGTTGGTAGACAGCAACCACCCAGGGAGGTACTACCGTCCTGCCAAGTGAGTGTAAAACGAAAGCCTGTAATTGTTTTACATGATGGTAGGATTGCTGGTGTCTTTTGTCTGTCTCATAAATATGCAAGATTACAGGTACGTCTTGCTACTTCTACTTACACTTAGGTCACACTACACATACATGTACACGTTTATTTATACACACTCATCTGAGTTTTCTTTGATTTTATCTTAATAGTTCTTGGTCTTATTACTTTTCCTTTTATATCCATGGGGAAGTGGAATAAGAATCTTTCCTCCGTAAGCCATGCGTGTTTGTAAAAGTCAACTAAAATGCCGGGAACAATGGGCTAGTAACCCCTTTTCCTGTAAAGATTACTAAAAAGAATAAGAAGAAGAAAATTGTCAAAGTGGGAAGTCTGAATGTGCGTGGATGTTGTGCAAATGATAAGAAAGAGATGATTTGTGGATGTTATGAATGAGAAGAAACTGGATGTCCTGGCTTTAAGTGAAACAAAGCTGAAGGGGGTGGGAGAGTTTCAATGGAGAGGAATAAATGGGATTAGGTCAGGGGTTTCAAATAGAGTTAGAGCTAAAGAAGGAGTAGCAATAATGTTGAAGGATAAGCTATGGCAGGAAAAGAGGGACTACAAATGTATAAATTCAAGGATTATGTGGAGTAAAATAAAGATTGGATGTGAAAAGTGGGTTATAGTAAGCGTGTATGCACCTGGAGAAGAGAGAAGTGTAGAGGAGAGAGAGAGATTCTGGGAAATGTTGAGTGAATGCGTGGGGAGTTTTGAATCAAGTGTGAGAGTAATGGTGGTTGGGGATTTCAATGCTAAAGTGGGTAAAAATGTTATGGAGGGGAGTAGTAGGTAATTTTGGGGTGCCAGGGGTAAATGTAAATGGGGAGCCTTTAATTGAGCTATGTGTAGAAAGAAATTTGGTAATAAGTAATACATATTTTATGAAAAAGAGGATAAATAAATATACAAGGTATGATGTAGCACGTAATGAAAGTAGTTTGTTAGATTATGTATTGGTGGATAAAAGGTTGATGGGTAGGCTCCAGGATGTACATGTTTTATAGAGGGGCAACTGATATATCGGATCATTATTTAGTTGTAGCTAACAGTTAGAGTAAGAGGTAGATGGGAAAAGAGGAAGGTGGCAACAACAAGTAAGAGGGAGGGTGAAAGTGTATAAAACTAAGGGAGGAGGAAGTTCGGGCGAGATATAAGCGACTATTGGCAGAAAGGTGGGCTAGTGCAAAGATGAGTAGTGGGGGGGTTGAAGAGGGTTGGAATAGTTTTAAAAATGCAGTATTAGAATGTGGGGCAGAAGTTTGTGGTTATAGGAGGGTGGGGGCAGGAGGAAAGAGGAGTGATTGGTGGAATGATGAAGTAAAGGGTGTGATAAAAGAGAAAAAGGTAGCTTACGAGAGGTTTTTTACAAAGCAGAAGTGTTATAAGAAGAGCAGAGTATATGGAGAGTAAAAGAAAGGTGAAGAGAGTGGTGAGAGAGTGCAAAAGGAGAGCAGATGAAAGAGTGGGAGAGGCACTGTCAAGAAATTTTAATGAAAATAAGAAAAAATTTTGGAGTGAGTTAAACAAGTTAAGAAAGCCTAGGGAAAAGTATGGATTTGTCAGTTAAAACAGAGTAGGGGAGTTAGTAGATGGGGAGAGGGAGGTATTAGGTAGATGGCGAGAATATTTGAGGAACTTTTAAATGTTAAGGAAGAAAGGGAGGCGGTAATTTCATGCACTGGCCAGGGAGGTATACCATCTTTTAGGAGTGAAGAAGAGCAGACTGTAAGTGTGGTGGAGGTACGTGAGGCATTACGTAGAATGAAAGGGGGTAAAGCAGCTGGAACTGATTGGATCATGACAGAAATGTTAAAAGCAGGGGGGGATATAGTGTTGGAGTGGTTGGTACTTTTGTTTAACAAATGTATGAAAGAGGGGAAGGTACCTAGGGATTGGCGGAGAGACATGTATAGTCCCTTTATATAAAGGGAAAGGGGACAAAAGAGATTGTAAAAATTATAGAGGAATAAGTTTACTGAGTATACAGGAAAAGTATACGGTAGGGTTATAATTGAAAAGAATTAGAGGTAAGACAGAATGTAGAATTGCGGACGAACAAGGAGGTTTCAGAGTGGGTAGGGGATGTGTAGATCAAGTGTTTACATTGAAGCATATATGTGAACAGTATTTAGATAAAGGTAGGGAAGTTTTTATTGCATTTATGGATTTAGAAAAGGCATATGATAGAGTGGATAGAGGAGCAATGTGGCAGATGTTGCAAGTTTATGGAATAGGTGGTAAGTTACTAAATGCTGTAAAGAGCTTTTATGAGGATAGTGAGGCCCAGGTTAGGGTGTGTAGAAGAGAGGGAGAATACTTCCCGGTAAAAGTAGGTCTTAGACAGGGATGTGTAATGTCACCATGGTTGTTTAATATATTTATAGATGGGGTTGTAAAAGAAGTAAATGCTAGGTGTTCGGGAGAGGGGTGGGATTAAAATTATGGGGAAATCAAATTCAAAATGGGAATTGACACAGTTACTTTTTGCTGATGATACTGTGCTTATGGGAGATTCTAAAGAAAAATTGCAAAGGTTAGTGGATGAGTTTGAGAATGTGTGTAAAGGTAGAAAGTTGAAAGTGAACATAGAAAAGAGTAAGGTGATGAGGGTATCAAATGATTTAGATAAAGAAAAAATTGGATATCAAATTGGGGAGGAGGAGTAGGGAAGAAGTGAATTTTTTCAGATACTTGGGAGTTGACGTGTCAGCGGATGGATTTATGAAGGATGAGGTGAATCATAGAATTGATGAGGGAAAAAAGGTGAGTGGTGCGTTGAGGTATATGTGGAGTCAAAAAACGTTATCTATGGAGGCAAAGAAGGGAATGTATGAAAGTATAGTAGTACCAACACTCTTATATGGATGTGAAGCTTGGGTGGTAAATGCAGCAGCGAGGAGACGGTTGGAGGCAGTGGAGATGTCCTGTCTAAGGGCAATGTGCGGTGTAAATATTATGCAGAAAATTCGGAGTGTGGAAATTAGGAGAAGGTGTGGAGTTAATAAAAGCATTAGTCAGAGGGCAGAAGAGGGGTTGTTTGAGGTGGTTTGGTCATTTAGAGAGAATGAATCAAAGTAGAATGACATGGAAAGCATATAAATCTATAGGGGAAGGAAAGAGGGGTAGGGGTCGTCCTCGAAAGGGTTGGAAAGAGGGGGTAAAGGAGGTTTTGTGGGTGAGGGGCTTGGACTTCCAGCAAGCGTGCATGAGCGTGTTAGATAGGAGTGAATGGAGACGAATGATACTTGGGACCTGACGATCTGTTGGAGTGTGAGCAGGGTAATATTTAGTGAAGGGATTCAGGGAAACCAGTTATTTTCATATAGTCGGACTTAGTCCTGGAAATGGGAAGTACAATGCCTGCACTTTAAAGGAGGGGTTTGGGATATTGGCAGTTTGGAGGGATATGTTGTGTATCTCTATACGTATATGCTTCTAAACTGTTATATTCTGAGCACCTCTGCAAAAGCAGTGATAATGTGTGAGTGTGGTGAAAGTGTTGAATGATGATGAAAGTATTTTCTTTTTGGGGATTTTCTTTCTTTTTTGTGGGTCACCCTGCCTCGGTGGGAGACGACCGACTTGTTGAAAAAAAAAAAAAAAAAAAAAAATGAGTAGAATACATATGGGTGTGGTTATATACCCTGCCAGGACAGGAAGTCCATGACATGTTTAGGTTCCTCTTGATAAGCACAAGGCTGTACCATAGGGTCACTCATCCATTTACTTTCATGCTTATCCTGATGACTGAGCAATGTGCACATGATCTATTTGCATATAATCAATTTATTTCCTTTTTACTTAGTAAAAAAAAATCCATAATATGTTAATATAATCTTCATTTTCACTCTAAACTGTTAATATTGTTTACTAATTTTTTTTTAGTATCATTATTCTGAAATAGAGAAATAATTAGCACATATGATTTGTGACAGGTTCTTGTTGAACGAGCTGATAGAGAGAAGTCTATATTGATGCCGGGTTACACACACCTCCAGCGAGCACAGCCTATCCGCTGGTCACATTGGCTGCTAAGGTAACAATAATGCTGGCTTGTGTGAGTGAATGAGATCAGAGTAGAGGCAAGTGGTTTTTCATGATTCTGACATGCTGTACGAGTATGAGCAAGGTAATGTATATGTTCAGATTCGGGGAAAACTGATTAGATGGACTCGAGTCCTAGAGGCAGAAGTATAGTTCCTGCACTCTGAAGAATGGGGTGAGGATAATGCAGTTCAGATGGCTCTCTGAAATGTGATGTCAGTACACTTTTGGTAGGACAGTGATTGAATGACTGACAGTAAATGTATTTCCACCTGTTTAGGTCACCCCATCTCAGTGGGAGACAGCCTGTGTATTAAAAAAATGTCGGGTAGGTAATTTTGCTGACAAGCTGAAAAATTAACATAACTATGTTTGCACAGAGGATGTACTGTTAACATTTCCCCTTGCATGGGTTTTGTTCAGTTACAGAAACCTCTGATTTTTGTAAGTTTTGTCAATACTTGCATGTAAATGCATTTGTATGTATTTCTCAACAGTAACACTGTGCAGTAGAACCCCCATATCTGAAGATTCAGTTTCCACAGTTTATCTACAATTTACCACATTATTATTATTATTATAATCAAGGGGAAGCGCTAAACCCGGAGGATTATACAGCGCTTGGGGGGGATGTGGAAGGCATTCAGGCTTAATTCGGGGAACTGGAGCACAGATCCAGTTTCCTAAATCAAGAGCCCCTCACCAACATCAAGGAACCTTCCTTGAGGGGACAATTTACCACAGCCCGAGTATATTAAATGGAAAATACCAGAAATAAATGATTCATAGGTTTCAAAATGTATGCCATTCTGAGTAACATGGTTAAACCTTCCTGTCCTGTCACGCTCGGTACATGATTAGTCTCTCTGTCCTCTGTATGTACACTGGCTCGCTTTACTTGCATCCAGTTAGCCTCTAACATTTTTGCTGTCCGCATTCATTACCATGTTATCACAGTGTTGTGAAAAAACCTTAATTTTGCTTAATAATGGCCCCAAACCATGTCCGCTATCAGCGATCTCCAACCATCAACATGGTAATGTTTACTGTGCGTAATTTATCAATTAAACTTTGTCATAATTGTGTATATAAATGAAAAACGACTTTAATTTAGGGCTCGCTGCAGTTTCGGGTATCTGCGGTAGGACTGCTTTGCTTCTACTTATTGTGAAGGTAGCTTATGGCTTCATAAAGTATTTTCTCCCTCTCCTTTACCCTAATGCAAAATACAATAACATGCAGTAATAAAGCAGGCTTTATTAGTACATCATTTATTGTAAAACTTGCAAGTTCTTGATTTACTTCTTCCCAAATTTGCAGGATTCCTTGTTTGCAGTATTTATTGTCCAACATATTTACAGATGAGCAACCTAATTTATTAATCTACAGGCTTTCTCACAGTACGTATACACATTGTTTTCAGGCTTGGTACATGATCCCTGTATTTGAAATTAACCATTGGATTTTTTCAGGATTTGCTAATCAGTTTACCTACACCAAAATCAGTCTTCATTCTGGACATTCTAGCTTATGAATGTCAACATTAACCAGATAAGAACATTAATTAGTGAGTTAATATCTCTGAAAAACAAAAGAACTTGTATCTGAAAAAAAAATTCATTATACAGCCCTAGTTTGGTATTCCCTAATATTAGATTCGGGACTTCTAGGCATGTGTTTTACCTTTGCAAATTTGTGCAGATGGCTGTATAATGATAAGTTTTTTTCTCTCTCTCTCTCTCTCTCTCTCTCTCTCAACAAACTGTACCCCATCAAGGCAGGGTGGCTCAAAAAGAAAAACGAAAGTTTCTCTTTTCGAATTTAGTAATTCATACAGGAGAAGGGGTTACTAGCCCCTTGCTCCCGGCATTTTAGTCACCTCTCACAACACGCATGGCCTACGGAGGAAGAATTCTGTTTCACTTCCCCATGGAGATAAGAGGAAATAAACAAGAACAAGAACTAGAAAGAAAATAGAAGAAAACCCAGAGGGGTGTGTATATATATGCTTGTAAATGTATGTGTAGTGTGACCTAAGTGTAAAGAGAAGTAGCAAGAAGTGTCTGAAATAATGATAAGTACTAGAGCTAATTGCAAACATTGCCTCTCTCAGCCATGTGTGGCCCATAGTGACGGATTTAAAGCGCCTTCGTAGCCTGTATTCACGTATCAACGTTTGCCCTTTGGGTTCTGGAGCCTTGGCTGGAAACCCTTTCAATATTGATAGAGAAAACCTGGCTCAAGAACTTGGATTTGACGGTGTCACAAAAAACAGTCTTCATGCAGTCAGTGATCGTGATTTTGTTGGTAAGCACACTGAATAAATCTTTTATACATATCTTTGGTGAAATTCTGTCATGTGAGATTCTCTGCTCAGTATAATAGGCCCCTCTTTTGTAAAATGCCTAAACCATCACATTGCTCTATCATTTTTTCCTCATTATTTTCCAAGAATCACTCTTGTCTTCTCATTACTTTGTTTTCTCATTATTCTATAAATGAGGAATTTCCATAGCTTTCTTTCTTTGGACAATAGCATTATCCTTGTTTCATGACTATTTGATGAGGAAAAGAAAAGCTTTTAACATTATACTTTTTTTTTTAGTGGAATATATGTTTTGGGCCAGTTTGGTAAGTTCACACCTCAGTCGTATGGCAGAAGATCTTATCTTGTTCTCTACAAGCGAGTTTGGCTTTGTAAAACTTTCTGATGCATATGCAACTGGCAGTTCCCTTATGCCTCAGAAGAAGAATCCTGATAGCCTTGAATTGATAAGGGGAAAGGCTGGAACTATGACAGGAAATGTAAGTGATACATGCTTTATTCATTTTCTGGCTTTAAAATGCTTAATTTTATTTGTAGCTTAGCTTGTTTGCCCATTTCATCAGAAATTTATATTTGCTGTTCTTTTTGAACTTATTACCTTTGTCTTTTCACTATATAATTGTCATTAAATGTTTGCTTATATCATCTATAAATTAGAAAGTTAATGCTTACATTCATCTTGAGATAAAGTGCTCTTGCCTTAATGTTTTGGAGGAAAGTACAGTTCCAGCACTCTGAGGAATGAGTGGGCTTGTTGCGGTTTGGTGTATCATTTGAAGTGTGATGTTTGCATGCTTCTGCTAAGACACCTAGGTAGTGAGTGCTGGTGAATGGGTTTCCTTCTTTGGGTCACTTGATCTTGGTGGAAAATGGCCAGTGTATTAAAACGAAAGAGAAAAGTGCATTATCACGTAAATATTAATAACTCGTATATCTGTGATGTTTATTTTGTAGATGGTATTAAGTGGCCAGATGTAATTATAATTAAAAGTTATACTGTACTGTTTTTAGAACCAACTGTGTGTATATTTGATGTATTGTATCATATTTTCAGTTGTGTGGATTTTTGATGGTTCTGAAGGGTTTACCATCAACATATAATAAGGATCTGCAGGAAGATAAAGTGAAGATGTTTGAGACAGCCTGCACCATAATGGGAATCTTACAAGTTGCTGCTGGCACAGTAGCTACACTCAAGGTCAGAAATATCTTATGTGATCTTTATTATAAAAATGGGTTGCCCAAATATTTCTTCCCTTCTCAAGGAAAATGGGGAAATATAATTATGCAAATGTTGTTTGTATTCCAATATTTTATTTTTTAGGAAAGGATTATAGATCAAGTTAATGTATTTTGATATTTAGGATTGGACATGCTTGCAGATGGGTCTGTAAGAGATTGTGAACCACAGAATAGATAAGAGGAGAAAAGATAAGTGGAATGTTTTAAACTTTATAGTGAGAAGGAGATCAAAAACAGTGGAGATATCATTTATAAGAGCAATGTGGGGTTTGAATGTTATGTAGAGAATTCTGAGCATAGAAATTAGAAGACATTGTGGGGTTACCAGAGATATAATTCAAAGGGCTAAGGAGAGACTGTTGAGGTAATTTGGGGCATTTTGAGAGGATGGAGCAGCATAAGATAGCCAAGCGAGTGTACAAATTGGGGGTGAAAAGAAGTACATGTAGTTGTAAGGTTTTTCCCAGGGAGGGTTGGAGGGGGGGAGTAAAGATGGATTTTGAATACTAAGGCCTTGAGCATTCACCAGGCTTATGTAAGTGGTGGCAATTGGTTTCTATTACTTGATGTACTGTGGGAGTGTGAGCAGGGTACCATTTATGAAGGAAGTCAGGAAAAGCTATTTAACCAACTTTGAGTATTGGAAGTGTGAAATAGTGCTGAGAATGTCTTAGTTTTGAAGGTCATTGGAATTGTGATGTCTGCACACTTCTGGGAAGACAGCTATTGAAAAAATGGTAAATGCTTCCTTTTTCTTTTTGGTTACCTTACCTCGATGAAAAACATCTGGCATATTAAGAAAAACCTGTGCTTAAAAACATGTCAAAAGCTACTGATCTAACTCACAGTTCAAGCTCAGGCCACATCATTATTTCACATCCATATATTAGTGGTGGGGTAATCATTCTTTCACTTGTATCACTCTTGTATAATGAAACTACACTGTATTAAACATTTAGAATGACTTAGTTGCATTTGAAGTAATTAAAAAAATTATTGTAGGTAAATGAAGATGTTTGTCGCAACGCCTTGTCTGAAGAGATGCTTGCTACGGATGTTGCATATTACCTTGTCAAGAAAGGGGTGAGTTAAAGGAAATTTTATTTTTGTCTGAAAAATGTAGTTAATTGTTTTAATTAGGTTTTGGTTTTCGATATTGAATACAGCAAGCCCTTGGTGTTTTTTGGGGAAATGCTTCTAAAAACCATCATGAGTACCAAAACTGTGAATACTTTTTTTTTTTTTTTTTTTTTTTTACTTTCTCAAATGCATTCATCTTTAGTATACATTTGTAGCACAAGTGATGAGAGTCCCTATTTATTTGGTACAGTTTGGTTAGGAAATGTGACTTATTTTTACTAATGTTGATGGTAAGTTCTGGTTATGGTAGGTGATGGTGGTACTTATATTGCCTGCCATGTGTGTACCCAGGTATTGTACAAGGCCACATCAGCCCTCTCAATACTTTTCTAGATCAATCAGGAATAACAACTACAGTATAAGGTATAATTGTCTTTTATTATTTTGGTTAAATTATGGCATTTTAAAACAAAATTGGCTATTTTTAAGCTTCAGTTCCACAACCCTTTTTTTCTCATAAGTTCTTCATTGCTTGTATCGCCAGTACATATCTAGTGATGTTTATATCTGTTAATGCAGTGATTCTTAGTAAGTACCTGTATCCTTCCCTGGGGATACATAAAATCAAAGCTCGAGGTACAAGACTGAACTGTACGAATTGAACACTTCCATCCAGGGAACAGTGATGTGATCTCTGCCAGGGAAAAGTTGTCGGCATTTACCAAAAACCTCCAATTTGGATAAATCACTTTTAGAATAGAAATTTTGCTCTTTCTATTCTATTTTTGCTCTTTGTGCTTAAAGAGAACTTTCCAGCATAACTTTAGCCATAGAGAGGTTTCTGTTTCACAGGGATGAGTATGGAACCCCATTTATTTTTATTCTGGATTCTGTGCATGATAGTGATTAAAGATGATATTGTTGAACTTAAAGCTAATGTGCTGTATGAATAGATTAATGAGTAAGATAAATTTAGTAAAACAAAGCTCCATACAGGTGCAAAACATTATCATTATTATTATATTCTTGAGAAAGTACTGTACTAAGGTCAATAGTCATAGAGCTCTTGGGCAGTGGGGCGGGAGGGGAAAAATATTTTGGTTTGATCTGACGAAGGGAGAGTGGATTTAATTTCTTGGCCCAAAAACCCTTCACTGGCATCAAGATACACTTCTTCCTGGCTTCATAATAACAGATCTTTGAAAGTCGACCCTGTTTCATATAGTCTCCCAGATGTGTATTAGATGTTTGTGTATATAGGGTACCATTCCGTGATGTATTGGCATAATTCTTGATCTGTTTCTAGCATTAAATTTATGCTTGTATACATTCCTTTTGATGAAGTTGAACATATAAAAACTATGCCAAATTTTTTATGTGAACCCATTGTAATCTTTATAATTTCTCTTGTTGCTTTCTAGATGGCCTTCCGCAGTGCACATGGAAAGGCTGGTGAAGTGGTGAAACTGTCAGAAGAGCTTGGGTGTGCTTTGTCACAACTCACCCTTGATCAGCTTACCAAAATTAGGTGTGCTGTATTATGATTCTTGTTCATTGGAAATAAGCTCTGGGTTTTATATACAACTTATGATTTGTATTGATTGTATTGTGCTTCATTGCATTATATTAGTTACATTTAGTCATCATCATGTTGGGTTTACTTGTAAATTTTCATCATAAACTCATCAATTTGCATTATAATAAGGCATTGTTAATAGATACAAAACAAGACAGTCATATTAAAAAAAAATTATTTTGATTCATTTTTTACATGGTCTCCCTCCCATTAAAGGCTTATTGGCCCACAGAATAAAACATTACAAATGCTTGCTTCTTAGCTGCATTCCTAGAAGAGTACAGACATCATGGATCGACAAACCACTTTCCATTATAAGCAGTGGATTGCCCATCTCCAAACCTCAAATTTTGGTAGCTGGTTTCCTCTCATATTAATGTTATTGTTACACTGTTTTGACACACACAGATGCTAAAACCATATGGGTTATAAGCTCTATGTACTCTGTGTCTTTCTCCTATGTGTTGGTTATTAGTGCATTGCCATATCCTACCGAGGAAGGGTGACCCAAAAAGAAAAACAAAAGTTTTTCTTTCTGCGTCACCCAAAAAGGGTTGCTAGCCCTTTGGTGTCATATAATATTTCTTTCTTTCAACACACCGGCCGTATCCCACTGAGGCAGGGTGGCCCAAAAGGAAAAACAAAAGTTTCTACTTTTGCATTTAGTAATATATTCAGGAGAGGAGGTTACTAGCCCCTTGCTCCCGGCATTTTAGTCGCCTCTTACAACACGCATGGCTTACGGAGGAAGAATTCTGTTCCACTTCCCCATGGAGATAAGAGGAAATAAACAAGAATAAGAACTAGAGAAAATAGAAGAAAACCCAGAGGGGTGTATGTATATATATGCTTGTACATGTATGTGTAGTGTGACCTAAGTGTAAGTAGAAGTAGCAAGACTTACCTGAAATCTTGCATGTTTATGAGACAGAAAAAAAAGGACACCAGCAATCCTACCATCATGTAAAACAATTACAGGCTTTCGTTTTACACTTACTTGGCAGGACGGTAGTACCTCCCTGGGCGGTTGCTGTCTACCAACCTACTACCTATAATATAATAATTTTTTTTTTTTTTTTTTTTTTCAACAAGTCGGTCGTCTCCCACCGAGGCAGGGTGACCCACAAAAAAGAAAGAAAATCCCCAAAAAGAAAATACTTTCATCATCATTCAACACTTTCACCACACTCACACATTATCACTGCTTTTGCAGAGGTGCTCAGAATATAACAGTTTAGAAGTATATACGTATAGAGATACACAACATATCCCTCCAAACTGCCAATATCCCAAACCCCTCCTTTAAAGTGCAGGCATTGTACTTCCCATTTCCAGGACTCAAGTCCGACTATATGAAAATAACCGGTTTCCCTGAATCCCTTCACTAAATATTACCCTGCTCACACTCCAACAGATCGTCAGGTCCCAAGTATCATTCGTCTCCATTCACTCCTATCTAACACGCTCATGCACGCTTGCTGGAAGTCCAAGCCCCTCACCCACAAAACCTCCTTTACCCCCTCTTTCCAACCCTTTCGAGGACGACCCCTACCCTCTTTCCTTCCCCTATAGATTTATATGCTTTCCATGTCATTCTACTTTGATTCATTCTCTCTAAATGACCAAACCACCTCAACAACCCCTCTTCTGCCCTCTGACTAATGCTTTTATTAACTCCACACCTTCTCCTAATTTCCACACTCCGAATTTTCTGCATAATATTTACACCGCACATTGCCCTTAGACAGGACATCTCCACTGCCTCCAACCGTCTCCTCGCTGCTGCATTTACCACCCAAGCTTCACATCCATATAAGAGTGTTGGTACTACTATACTTTCATACATTCCCTTCTTTGCCTCCATAGATAACGTTTTTGACTCCACATATACCTCAACGCACCACTCACCTTTTTTCCCTCATCAATTCTATGATTCACCTCATCCTTCATAAATCCATCCGCTGACACGTCAACTCCCAAGTATCTGAAAACATTCACTTCTTCCATACTCCTCCTCCCCAATTTGATATCCAATTTTTCTTTATCTAAATCATTTGATACCCTCATCACCTTACTCTTTTCTATGTTCACTTTCAACTTTCTACCTTTACACACATTCTCAAACTCATCCCACTAACTTTGCAATTTTCTTTAGAATCTCCCATAAGCACAGTATCATCAGCAAAAAGTAACTGTGTCAATTCCCATTTTGAATTTGATTCCCCATAATTTAATCCCACCCCTCTCCCGAACACCCTAGCATTTACTTCTTTTACAACCCCATCTATAAATATATTAAACAACATGGTGACATTACACATCCCTGTTAAGACCTACTTTTACGGGAAGTATCTCCCTCTCTTCTACAACCCTAACCTGGGCCTCACTATCCTCATAAAAGCTCTTTACAGCATTTAGTAACTTACCACCTATTCCATAAACTTGCAACATCTGCCACATTGCTCCTCTATCCACTCTATCATATGCCTTTTCTAAATCCATAAATGCAATAAAAACTTCCCTACCTTTATCTAAATACTGTTCACATATATGCTTCAATGTAAACACTTGATCTACACATCCCCTACCCACTCTGAAACCTCCTTGTTCGTCCGCAATTCTACATTCTGTCTTACCTCTAATTCTTTCAATTAAACCCTACCGTATACTTTTCCTGGTATACTCAGTAAACTTATTCCTCTATAATTTTTACAATCCCCTTTTGTCCCCTTTCCCTTTATATAAAGGGACTATACATGCTCTCCGCCAATCCCTAGGTACCTTCCCCTCTTTCATACATTTGTTAAACAAAAGTACCAACCACTCCAACACTATATCCCCCCTGCTTTTAACATTTCTGTCATGATCCCATCAGTTCCAGCTGCTTTACCCCCTTTCATTCTACGTAATGCCTCACGTACCTCCACCACACTTACAGTCTGCTCTTCTTCACTCCTAAAAGATGGTATACCTCCCTGGCCAGTGCATGAAATTACCGCCTCCCTTTCTTCCTTAACATTTAAAAAGTTCCTCAAAATATTCTCGCCATCTACCTAATACCTCCCTCTCCCCATTACTAACTCCCCTACTCTGTTTTTAACTGACAAATCCATACTTTCCCTAGGCTTTCTTAACTTGTTTAACTCACTCCAAAATTTTTTCTTATTTTCATTAAAATTTCTTGACAGTGCCTCTCCACTCTTTCATCTGCTCTCCTTTTGCACTCTCTCACCACTCTCTTCACCTTTCTTTTACTCTCCATATACTCTGCTCTTTTTATAACACTTCTGCTTTGTAAAAACCTCTCGTAAGCTACCTTTTTCTCTTTTATCACACCCTTTACTTCATCATTCCACCAATCACTCCTCTTTCCTCCTGCCCCCACCCCTCTATAACCACAAACTTCTGCCCCACATTCTAATACTGCATTTTAAAACTATTCCAACCCTCTTCAACCCCCCCACTACTCATCTTTGCACTAGCCCACCTTTCTGCCAATAGTCGCTTATATCTCGCCCGAACTTCCTCCTCCCTTAGTTTATACACTTTCACCTCCCTCTTACTTGTTGTTGCCACCTTCCTCTTTTCCCATCTACCTCTTACTCTAACTGTAGCTACAACTAAATAATGATCCGATATATCAGTTGCCCCTCTATAAACATGTACATCCCGGAGCCTACCCATCAACCTTTTATCCACCATACATAATCTAACAAACTACTTTCATTACGTGCTACATCATACCTTGTATATTTATTTATCTCTTTTTCATAAAATATGTATTACTTATTACCAAATTTCTTTCTACACATAGCTCAATTAAAGGCTCCCCATTTACATTTACCCCTGGCACCCCAAAATTACCTACTACTCCCTCCATAACATTTTTACCCACTTTAGCATTGAAATCCCCAACCACCATTACTCTCACACTTGATTCAAAATCCCCACGCATTCACCAACATTTCCCAGAATCTCTCTCTCTCCTACACTTCTCTCTTCTCCAGGTGCATACCGCTTACTATAACCCACTTTTCACATCCAATCTTTATTTTACTTCACATAATCCTTGAAATTTTTACATTTGTAGTCCCTCTTCTCCCAGCTTAGACCTTAAATATTATATCTTACGACTAACCCTTTTATTTAATCATGACCATGCTATTCATTCTCTCCTGAAATCTGCGGCCATACCTTGATTAATTTATGTACATAATATTTTTTACGATAGCACACAAATCTCTTCATTATGTGGCCAAATCCACGCAATTCAATCAGTGTTTGAAATTTACTTTTTTAATCCTTTATAGAGACTTTTGCTAATATGGCTCATTTTCATATGCTTTCCCGCACTTTAGTTGCTGATTTACAACCTGCATCAGTTACGAGTAGTTAATGATTTCCAGCACAAAGGAAATTTAAATTAAGCTAACGAAATTAAGCCGAATGCTGATGAACTGACTGACTGATTGGATTAGTATGGCGACCTGTACTATTATTGGTATATTATTGCCTATGTAAGTAGAATTAGATTTAGTACTAGTCTATTAATATGTTATCAAAAGACACCACAAAGATCAAGGCTAATCAATCTTCATTCAGCTGGTTTTGTCCTCTTTTAATGGTTTAATCGTAGAATAATGAACCAGTTAAGAATACAAAGACAACATAATATTCTTAACCATGTCGATTACACAGTTAAGTAAGCTTAAAATGTACCCTTATTCAGCCTCATTTTTTAGGAAAAAAATTTGTTATTATTAGTTTTATTTTTTTCAGTGGACATCCCACATAGGGTGACCAAAAAAGAAAGAAAATCCCCATTAAAAAATACTTTTAGTATCATTCACCTTCAGACATCTACATTTATATGCTCTTTAGTTAGAGTGCCCGAATACACATTTAAACCAATCTTAAGATACACAGTTTTTAATTACCATATATGCCAAATTTCAAACCCCTCTTAAAGTTGTAGGCATTGTTTCCCATTTCCA